GGAGGTTGAATTCGCGGCTTAATGACCAATGTATATACTAAACAGCCCTATCATATCGTTACAAGTTGACGACAGTCGGCCACAGCCAGATATTACGTATATCTTCGGATGTTTTCCACGGATGAGTTGCTGTTAAGTTCCAGGACATCATATTGGCAGTTCCTGGTTGGAAGGCACTAATCTTGAGCAACAATTATGGATCCTCTAGTTTCCGATGCGTAAGAGTTTGATCTCCATCAGGATCGCTTACACTTTATTAGTATTATTATTACTACTACTGCTACTACATGGTAATTTCAAAGATAGACGTTCTATCTATGAATTAGACGTTTATTGTATTTGCCATTAAAAATATAATCTACCGTTTATAAGACCACTAAAGTATCACATCAGGAAAATATATTCAGTTCCAAGATTTTCTTTCTAAAATGTTTTTTTCTCGTTCATTCGTTAAGGCTCATTCAATTGGTAATGTCTTTTCCAGTCTTGTTGAATGTCTTTTACTCTTTTTCAATTTCGAACTTTCCTCCTCTATCCTATCTAATCTACCTAAAAAATCAAACCAAGCCAAACCAAACCAAATAAAAACAAAAAAACAAAAAACAAGACAAAAAACAAGTAAAATATAAAGAATAAATGTCAGCCAATCCTTCTGCCACGATTTCTGGTCAAAGAATTGACTTCTTGCATTTTGGTAGATGAGTGACTGGAACTCATTAAAATTACATTTACCACCAAATTTTATTGCTGCTTGTCACGATGATGACATACTTTCGACGCAACAACTGAAAATACAAATGAAGAAACGATTGCAACTATATTGTAAATATAAACATTGAATTTTCTGAACTTGAACTCATGGGATAAGAAAACCTTTTTGCTTCTAGGTTAATTTGGATGACACACTTAAAAATGTCTTCTGAAGTGACAATTTTGAATCTCAATGCAGAACCGCTGAAGTGAATCAGTTTTCTTTTTAAAGCATGAATATTTACTCAGCTGTAGGAACTCGTTGTGAACCTATCGTTAATTTACATCTGCTGCGAAAAGCATTAACATTGTGTGTGTGTGCGTGTGTGTGTGTGTGTTGTGTGTCCATGTTCTTTTTTATCTTTATAAGCTAAGGGTATCTTAATTTTTATAATTAATATAATATTTCGCTAATTGAATTTCTAAATGCTGATCACTTTTGTGGAGGTTCCGATATTTTTGCAAACATCCGGGCAAAAATAAATTACAATGTTTAAAATGTGACCGAATTGAGAGACTCGTATGAAGGGAAAGGATGAGGAAGCAGCAATAAATTCTATTCATCAGGTTTCGTAACCAAATGATTGGTGATTATGGCACTGAGGTCATTAACGTCCACTGGATTTTAAATATAACCCTATTAAAATACGCTAATCAATATTAAACAGTCACAAAGATTACAGGAGCAACCAAAAATCTGTTATAGTTTTCAAAAGCTTTGTACCTCCACACGTCAAATAAGTATAAAACATAAAATATATAAATACAAAGGATCTTTATTTACACTACTTACATCGTTTGGATTATTGTCTCCATCTTTGTCATATTAACGATGTTTCAGTCGTTTCAGGCTCCGGTTTTCTTCAAGGACATGACCTAGTGAATAAAAACAGGGGTGAACAAAAACTTGGAGAGTTGAGTTACTAAAGTTACTGAAACTGAGATATCCAGAAAAGGCATGGCACGTGGAACTAGAACAATCTATTCTATAGCTATTCCAAGGGTTCGGTTCGAAATTCCAGCGTAAGAAGAAGGCCGGAACGACGTCGGAAATAAGACAATAGAGAACAATGTAAATAGTTACAATAAGTCATCTCAGATATATTGTCGTAACTTTTTATATATGTTGTATATGAGGATATATATATATATATATATATATATATATATATATATATATATATATATATATATATATATTATAAAATGGACAGTCCGACAATTATTTTAAGACATTTTTATGTTTATACATTCTTTTTATAGATACAAATATTTAAGTAAATGGTCTGTTTATAATAAACAGTATTAATAATATTTACCGGGCTGAATGTCCGAGAGATTCCGATAGGAATCGAACCTGTATCTTATACGGAACGGTCATATAGCCTGACGTGCCTTAACCGATCGAGCCACGGAGGATAGTTTGGTTAGCAAGGTCGATTTTACTGCTTTGAAACTACAATCCTCCATGAATCTCATATCTGCTCAACGTGTATCCAAATGTAAACAAATGACGTCACACATTATGAAATGGACAAAGTCCGATAATAAATTTTAAGACATTTTTATGTTTATACATTCTTTTTTATAGATACAAATATTTAAGTAAATGCTCTGTTTATAATAAATGGTATTAATAACATTTACCGTCCTGAATCTCCGAGAAATTCTCATAGAAAATGGCACACATTTAAATATTATGAAATAAAAGAAAATACACACACAAATATGAATTTACTTTATTTCAATATTTCTATTCAACTATTTGTGTAGCTTATTTATTGTGAAACGTGTCTGGTGTTGTTTTGCGATTTCTTCAATGTTTGGTCTAAGTAGACCCTCATTTCTTAAGTTGAATATACAGAGTGTTCTGAAAGACAATAGAAGAACAAGAAATACAGTAATACAAAGCATATATACTGGATTCAGATTATTCACTTTCATTGTTGCTGTTACATTGAGAAGGTCTGTATAAACACCTTTATTTTTGTGTAGGACATTTCCCTCTTCATTCTCGTACTGTTACATTGATATGATTAACACACCTTCTGTTTATTTTTTTTTTCTACTCATATAAGTGATTTTCTTTGGAGATCAATTGACATCATGACTATTGAGACCAACACTCAGTCTTCCGGTTGATTTTACAAATGTTATCGTTTTGTGACACTATGCAATTCTCTTTACTTTAAAAGAATGCATCAACTGTCACATCTCAGGGACGAGAAATTTGTCTATGCCTACTAGCACTCTCTACTGGTTGTCAAAACTTCAAGGATGACCCGATAGCCTTGGGAGGCTGCTATCCTGGACGCAGGTCAATCCGGGGAATGTTATTTTTGGTTGGAAGTCCTCCTCAGGGTACGTTGTGTTATCTTGAACCTGAAGAAGTCGGCGCTCTTGGCGTTAGTAGTGTTAGGAGCAATTTTCTGGGTTGGAACAGAACAAAAAATGACAAAGCAAAAAAGATTGAAATATATTTTGTAAGAGACATTAAATGCTACATTTATTCGTCTTTTGCGTAAACTACCAATTTAAATATCTGTTTCTTCCTGGTCTGCCTTGTTACTGATGTGGATTCTAGCTTTATTACTTGTGTTGTATCACTGGAGAAAGGGAGTGAAAACTTGTCTGTGTGTTCGCTGTAATCTACAGTGAGGTTTTTCTCTTGTTTTAACTCAAATTGGCTGCTACTTTTATGGATTTCGCTATGACTTGACAAAATAATGAATCAGTAAAATCAACTCATAAATCTCATTATTTGCAAAAGTTTCTTTGTTCAAAATGCTTTTCAAAAACACATTGTTTCATATTTTCTTCTTCCTGGCCTAAATTTTTCGTTTGAAAACACTCTCGAGAATATTTTTCTTGATGAAGAGGTGCTCTTAAAAATCAACGCAATTTCAGGAGGTTGGTAGAGTAAGAAAACAATTTTTAGCCAGGGAATGTTTTCCTCTGGAATCAATCACCTGTCAAGGCCCACACCTGTCCCCTGTCAAGGCTCTATCCCTACCCCCTGCGGCGGGTAGGTGTAGGGATTTCTCTGTTATAATCAATCTTACTGGATTTCCTCAAGTTAAAGTTTAATCCACCAAGAGATTCAATTTCAGCTTCACTTATTAAATCGAATTAATCTTTTTAATTAGTTCTTTTCTTCATCTTGCCGCGTTACATTAGAATCTCTCTTCAGTGCACCAAGTTAGACACAGTGATATGTAACCAACAACAACAACCGACCGCCGTCAAGCCTCTCTGGAGATATACTTCCTTTTACGAGTAGGAAAAACACCCGTCTCGTTAGATTTTGTATGATTTCAATTCTTTCTCAGATTTCCATTTTTTGCGACCTTTCTCAAGGCTATTCGAATTTGTTCCGAATGCGCGCCTATAATGATGGGACCAAGCGTTACTTTCGTATTTTTTCAGTTTCTTCGCGAGTTTAAGATGTTTTTCAGCCTTTTATTCCTTTTAAAATCTTACTTTGTCTGAACGAAGAGGAAGGCCTACAGCTGACACATTTTCTCTTGTTCATCATTAGATCTTGTCTCTTTGTTTCGACTGAATCAGTCATTTAAATTTAATTCTAATTTCTCTAACTCGTTATAAATAAGTAGATAATAGCACTTGAAGTCGACAAGATAAGTTTTTAACATGTTAAAAAATTAAGCTTACAGATTATGGATTTTTATACTTATTAATGGTTTGTATTTTTGTAGCATACATAGATCCTCGGTTATCTATCGAGAAGGTATAGATACCATCAAAAACTTTTTGCAATAGCTAATCAAAACAAATACACGGCAGGTTAGAATTTTATGAAATATTCCTTCCATAAAATAAGGATTAAATAATAAAAACGCCTGGCTGTGGAAAAAAAATACACCTTTTGTGAACAAGAGAACCATAGTTAAAAAATCTATGTTTTTAAACACAGAAGAGTTCCACGTACCGACTGACTACATCGGATGGCTTCCCGTTACGGTTGTGACTAAGTATAGGCAAAAAGAAAGAAGAAGAGAGTTTCTTTTTGAAGGCATGAGTTTTTTCAAGGCATCTGTCAACTGCTAATATGTATTTCTTCTACATCCAACCATACTGCTCTCTGCACATATATTAATGATATATCATATGAACTGATTTTTGCAATGATCTATTTTATTTAACGTTTCATTTTATTCACAGACACATTGCTAACAGTGAGGCAAATATAACATACACACTTATTTTTTTTTCTCTCTTTTTCTTTTCAGGTGTTTCATATGAAACACGACAATCTCAATCGTCTTGTCGGAGTATGTCCAACCAGTTCTACTGTATGCATTGTCAGTATTAACTGTAGATATGGAAGTCTACGTGATACACTTATCATGCCGGATCGTTCCTATGACTGGGGATTCAAAACACAATTCGCTCTTGATATTGCGAAGGTAAGTCTCTTTAGAGGGAAAAGAAGAAATATTGCATATCGTTTACAAATCTGATAACTAACCCTTCTCATAATTTTGGTCAGTCTATTTTATGAAGTTAGCATTCGAGCTCAGGTATCAATATGCAGATGGTGAATTATGCATAAAAGCTGACAATCTATTTAGAACAAAAATATGCTAATTATTTCATTTGAGACTTTCAATCCTGTTCGCAATATTTTTTCCGGGATTCATGATTTTTACTAAGGCCGGCAGATGATCTACTACAGTTGAAAAGTCACATCAGATCACAAATGGAATATTGTGGCTATATTTGGACTGGAACTGACCAATACTCTTTCACTCCGAATTCAGAAGCGTCTACGTGAAATTGCGTGATTAAATAATTTCCATCATGCTACTTCGTTTCCAAAAGCAAAATGTAGCAAGCCACTCGCAATTCTATAGCTATTTTCATGAAGATTTTTTTTGCGAGCTAAATGCTTTTGTTACTCCAGAACTTTACAGCTAACACCCACCATGACACGTTGACAGGGTCGAATCCTCCTCATTCCCTTTATATCATCCCAAGAACCGCTATTTTGTGAAATAGTCTCTCGAGAGGATGCTTCCTCGATTACTACTATCTTAATCTCTTCAAGTCTAAGATCAACCGTTATCTTTTTATTTAATCAGTATCATCCCAAGCAAGACAGTAACGCCATTAAGAGGCAAAGGGTTACTGGGTGTGGAAGAATTAAGAACAGAAACATTAATAATGAGCAGGGAGAGAAAAGAGTAATCGGAAGGAGGTCAGTAGATAACGATTATTGACATTGCATTTAAATTTTTGCAGATTAAAGTTGGCTGGAAAGCATGGAGACAGAAGGGAGTTCCACAAGCGAGAACTGCGAGAAACTAAACTGTTAGCATAGAATTTGCAGTTACATCTAGCCAGCTCAACTCTAAATTGATGAAATCTCGACGATTCAATATAGTCTTTCCACTTCATAAGGCTCAACGAGTCTCTTTCCTGGAGGTTAGCATCAGCCATATTGATGGAAGGCAGAGAGGGGGGTCTCTCAGATGAATATTGGCGAGAAGTTTACTTTTGCAGGCGTTAAAATTTAAAAAAATAATTAGCAATCCATCTATCCTGCATTTCTTACCCACTCTTATGCCTGTAAAACAACCTTATTCAGTAACCTACCCTGAGGAACTCTTGGGCACTGTATTGGGTGAACAAGAATGTAAAAGTTACATTATACATATTACTTTTTATATCTTCTTTAACAGATTCATTTCCTTTTGATTGAAATTTAAATTTTGAAGGACCTCTCCACAGTATTAATTATCTTTTGATTGATTTCGGCCAATCAAAAAAGTCTTGAAATGGCATTGTTCCTTTATTTTAAATCTGAATGTGTTAGTTAACTTAAGCGCGTACTGCAGACAATTCCATTATAATTTCAATCTTAAAGTACCGGTAATATTCCGTAAATCAGAGAAAAAATTTAACCGACCCTTATTTTTGTATTTTATTTAACAAACCATGTCTGTAAGTTTAGATGAAATTTGTGTAGAAAAGCCACAAACCAGTTGACTAAAAAGCAAACTACGTGATGTAATGGCGTGTTAGTCCACTTCAAGGTGTTCTTGTTTGTACCTCGAATTATTCTAGTAGCCTTTTCATTTTTAAAAGTTTGAAAAGTCTTCTTTCGTGATCGGCATTAGTTACCTTATCACGTTCACCTTAATCTTGTCCACGGTTTGAAATCTGAAAGCTAAAGCTCGCAAGGAGTTCATTTTGGGCAGTGGATGGGCTGAAAACTCTGTGTGAAGCGATAGTTTGATAAAAACAAAACCTGTACGTGTTGTGAAGAATAAACAATGGAGTTACTCAGAATGCTTGAATACTTTCTGGTCAGTATGTACAATGCTCAAATTTTCATCTAATGAATTTCTTTTGATTGCAGTTCGAACGTGTGTTCAGTCGTTTCGTTAGTTCATTTTGTTGGAAGTCTTCCAGATCGTTGATCGCTTTCAATGCATTCCTGGTCGAGTTTGAAGCAAAAGTACACAATTTTTATCTGGGCTTCCCCCATTGAATCATGCCCCAAAAGACTTAATTATTCGAATTCATAGGCGAACTGGATGCATATTCGCTAATTGGCTGTCGGTCATTGTAAATGTGATGGTCACAAAGTACACAAGCAGCACACTGAATGGAGTTTCAACTAAGTGGCCCCACGGAAAGGTTGTTCTAGGTGCACACAATAAAATCCCTTCTAATTGTTTACCAAGTTATATCAAAACCACACAACCGATTCTTGAGCTATTCAAAATGGCTGGATACATGTTTGTGCGTGCGTGTATGTGTGTGTTTGTGTGTGCGTGTATGTGTTTGTGTGTTATGACACTACAGATTAACAAGTCATATCTGATTTTGACGACGAGTCGTTTTCCCAAGTGAAAATGCTTTAATTGTTCAACATTTTGATATCGTTATTTGATCAGTTATAAAAAAAAAAAATGCGCATATTATTGAAACAAGAATTCTTTTCGAAGACAACATCCGACTTCTTGTTTTGCCACGCTATCTGCTTTTGGTCGAAAGTGGCGACTTCAAGACTGGCACTATCTCAACAACAACAAAGTCTAACAAACTAGTGTAACCGATGAAATTAAAAAAAGAAAAACGAGAATAAAAAAAAAAAACATGGTGAAAACTGATTTTTTACTCTTTATAAAATTTATTATTTGCTCAAATAAAAAGCGCTTTATTTAAAACGCACGCTTACTGTCTAAATTTTTTTCTTCGACTCTCGGCCTTGAAATATCAAATTTATCTATATAACACTAACACTAATCTTTTATGTAAATATGTTTGTTTCCGACATACAGCTTAAACAATATACAATACCCCAAACAATTTAGGAGAATATTATGCCTTGAACCACTGCCGAGTGTAGTGCCAAATTTCATTAAAATTAGAAAAGGGGTTTTTGAGCTAGGGCAGTTTTTCTGTTTTGAATAGGAAATTCAATATTTGTTTTCGATAAACAAATTTATAAGTTATATCACTCCGCGTATATCAAATATATATGAATATTATGTTCCAACTATTGTATGTATGTGTGTGAAAAATAAACATTCATAATGCATTGTAACGACATTAAATAAATTTAAATATACATAACATATTTAGGCAATTCACTACATTAGAACTGTTTTATAAACAAATATTTCGGATGTTTGGTAACTACTTGATAGGTGAAAAGGCTATGCAGCTTATTATCAGTGTTATTTATTGTAAAACAATCTGTTTGGCTGGAAAATTGTCACATGGTAAATAAATAGATGCATACTGTTTTACCGCCGTTACATAATTTAAAATAAATGTGAAGAAGAAACAATTATGTAAAACAAAATATAATTATTATTTTGAAAGAAATACCTAGAAAATGAAACTAAGTGCACAAAAAGGGGACCATCCAGACTTTGTTGTTTCAATAAATATGACTCCCTAAACATGCAATTGCTGTTTTTTAATGACCTTCATCTCTGAAAAATATATGGTAAATATTAAAATTTAGATAAATTTTCACCCAAAGCTCTTATTTCTTGAATGGAAAGGCCCTTAATGTGATATCAGTTTGCAATTCCATTCTTAAAAATAAAAAAGTAAGCTTTTCTTATTAATTTATTATTGCGTTTGATCTAAGTAATATTGCATAATGTAAGTAATAATTATTATAATAAATTTTATTGCAAATACAAATTAAAATATGTGTAATTAATAATAAAATTGATAATATTGTTACCTCATCATTTTGAATGATGAACTGCTTTTAAAAGGAACCCAACGGGTTTTGGGGTGGTTTAGTCTTTACTTAAATATTTGGTATGATGTGGATTGTTCGAAAAAAAATCATCAATTTCACTACTTTATATTTAAAATAGCTACCTCCAAAAATAGATTATAATAAGCAAAATACGTTACTGTATTTCAAACCGTATTTACATTGTCGCTTAGTGGAATTTCTTTCTGATCATTCTTTGTAAATAAAGAGATTGTTATGAGTGAAAATCCTAGATCAACGGCTTTTGAAATACTCAGAAACACTCGTCTTGCACCAATGATTATACCGTCCTCAAAGTCACTTAAGTAAGCTTTTTTTCCCATTAATAATTCATGAAATGTAATTGATCAGGTTGCCGGTACCATGTTTGAATGCTATTAAATTCCCAAGCCATTGGCTGATTAGAAATAAAAAATGTCCAGTAAACGTGCCTGAAATCTTATTCGCATTGAAGAAAGTCTGATGACAATATCGATCATATAGAATTTTTGTATTAAATGATCTTGATTAACTTGTTCAAAGAAATGTCATGCATTTAGGTGAATGCATATTGCAATAACTTCATAATTTATATCCCGGCCTTTGAGATGAAACTTCTTTAAAAAAACGAACTAACTTATCCTAAACAGGAACTAGCAATTAACGAGATTGTCGAACAGGCTTTTACTATTAAGTAACAAGTTCGTTGCTCATTCATAAATATGCATACCTCGTTGTGGTGTAAGCCTTAACAAGTGTTGTAGATCAAAATACTGAATAGTAATTTCAATCTTTACTTGCTGCTCCATATTTGCAGTCTTATGTCAACTCTAAGCTACGCTTCATATTTTTTAAAATTTTAATCAGACCACCAATTATATCATTTTCTTCTTTGTTTCAATAGAAAATATGCGTTGTACCTCTTAAAAACATAATTAAGTAATATTTAGTTAACTACAGAAATTACGATTGGTTTGTTTTTAGCAAATCTTATTTAATGTAAAAATTTTAAAGTTAACATCATGAGAACCTAATATATAAAATATTACTAAATGCATTTCGTCTTTGCCCAATTCTTTAAAGAATGAAAATGAATCGATGTAAACTTTCAAATCTTTAACGCGTTGTCATTTTTTAATTTTACTGAATTGATTCACAAGACATTTTCCTGAGTTCCGCGTTTGTCTTTCATCTTTTTTTTTATTTAACAGGGGATGCAGTATTTGCACGATTCAGAAAAAATTATACATGGTCGTCTATCGTCGCTCAATGTTTTAGTCGACAGTGTGATGCAATGCAAAATTGAAGATTATGGGATGAACAAACTCCGTAAATTGCTTCGAAAAAAGAATTCAGTGAAAGATGATCATGAAAGTAAAGCATGCATTTTTTTTTAATATTCATTGGTTTAGATTTACTGGTTGATATATTTTTTTAAATAATGTTTGGACTTCTCTGGACTAAATTCCTTCAACCAAAGTCATTTACTTTTGGCCATTGAATCTAAGTTTTGCGCAATCTGTATAAACTAAATGCCAATGTGCAAATAAACTGGAGAATACATACAAAAAAATCTGGGGCAAATTGCAAGGAAGTGATGCTTAATGTCGAAGTGGAAACTGAGCTGGCGGTAGTAGACATTGGACTCATTAACAATGTTTAGATAGGCTGAGAATCCAGTTAAGAACTTTGTTTTACTAATAGGCTATTTAATTGCATTCGTTTGATTTAGGATCGGTGATAAGTATGCTTGTTTAAAACGTAAAGAAAATTTGTTTAGTCGTTGTTTTACGCAAACACCTGACTTTAAATGACGCCTTCTTACTGGGACGCCCACATAGTAGAGGATTGTGCGTTATTTTATCTCTATGTCAGGTGTTTCGTGTTTTATAACCAGCGACGGAAAGTCTTCAAATAACAGATAAATAAATGAAAACGTTTGAGAACAAGTTCCAACAAACTGGACGTTTAGGATTTCTGATTGAAGGCTTATATTAACGGTCCCAGATGGAAGTGGAGAAAGTTCTGGACCGCTCTTCGCGGGTCTGGAGGTCATTACCGGGTTACGAGAGTTCCGATGCTTTCCGTTAGAATTACCAGACGCAAATTATGAAAAGATTGACAGAGAGTTGGTAAAGAAAAGAGATTTCACTGGTTGAGGAGAGAAGTTGATCTATTAGTCTGAGATGTTAGAAGTGGCAGTCACCTATCTACCAACCCAGACCAATCAAGTAAATCCCTGAAATAAACACTTAAATATGTTGGAAACTGGGCCCGAGCCTTTATTTCATGTCATGGTATTTATTTTTACCTTGTGAGCGTAAAGTGTCCCTTGCCCAGTTTTTGTTACACAGCCACGCGAACAAAAATAGAGATGCAACGTGGGGTTTCAGTTGTCTCGTCGGTGAAAAGTTGAGGAAGGACACCGTTGAATGTTTACAGCAATATATTGCAAATGTGTGTTCCTCGTTGGGTTTTCCACAATTATGGCTTTCTGACAGAGGCAAGCTTGACAAATGACCTTCATGTAGTTGAAAAATAACTCTAGGAATTATGTTATAATCAGTATTTAGCATTAGAAAATACGTAACTACTTCTGTAAAAACAGATCATCTCCTTTTGTTAGTTTTATTGAAGAAGCAAATAGTCAAGATCCCATGGGAAATATATAAACAACCTGAAACTGAAAGATTTTAATTCATTAGAAAAAATAATTAATGTGAAATTAATAAATTCTAAACAACTGTACACAGCATCTGTCTATATTTCTGAGATAAGATATTGTAACTATTTACATCGTTCTGACTGTTGTTCTCATCTTTATTACCATATTAATGACGTTTCGGCCGTTGTACGCCCCAACCTTCTTCTGGTGATATACGTTGGGATTTCGACCCAAATCTTTTGTTTAGTCCACGGGGGTAGATTGTTCGAATTGCACGTGACATGCCTTTCCTGGATATTTCAGTTTCAGTTAATTTTCTTTAGTAACACAACTCTCCAAGATTTTGTTCCCTTTGCTGTGGCCAGGTATTGAACTCAAATATTGAAGGGAGTGATGCAAGAACGAGACTACTGGCAACTGACATAGACGATAATCATTCAAGAAATGGGAACATTGCATCAAATCATATATCAAATCCAGGACTGGTACCGTTCAATTTATTATTCCACACAATTCAGGGCCTGAAACTCCAGCAATTATATGTTACCCATATTCTTACTGTTTTTGAAAACAATTGATTTTTTAAGTGACTGCTATTTTTTCTAAAAATGCCTAGAAAATCTGCCAATAGGTCAACTGAGTGATTAAGAAATCTAAAATTGGTGAAGTTGGTGAATTGTGTTCTTTGGAATGGTTAGCATAACATCAGCTAAATGTCAACCGATTCGAACTTTATAAAATAATAATTAAAGATTTCATTTTAGCTGAATCACATTTTTATGATTTAGTAATTTTTTATAAATTTATGAATAAAAATATGGTTTTCATATTTTATTATAAATTGGTAAATGATAAACATTGCACAGTGTTAGTTTGCATATTTTTATAACGTGAATATAAAATTTTTCTTGTAAATAAACAATCTAATAAATAATTTAATATTGTTGTTGTAAATTCTGAAGAACAAAGAATGTATAAATTCACTTTCATTAACGATAGAGTGAAGGGAGTTTACAGTAATAGCGGTGTGGAGGGAAAAACATTCTTTTGACACTTTTTTGCGGACATGAATGTTAAAGTTTGCCTAATGTTTAATAATACGTTTTTTATTGATAAAAAAAATTATTTGATTACATCTTTGAAAACAGCAACTTTTGCTATGAAGTCATTTTAAGTTAAAGATAAAAGAAAAAAAAACTACTAAAGACATTACCTCAAGGCAATTTGACAAGGATTTTTTATAATTAATACGGAAGCTCCACTTCCCAAAATATGACTAAACATTAGATTTTTCTTTGAAAGGCCGAGAACTTTTCAGCAACTGCACATAATTTGCAGTAGCTTATAAAATAAATGAATACATTAATAAATAGCAGACAAACATACAGATATAGATTTTTTAAATAGATATTTTCTTGGATTTTCTGTATATGTTGTTAAATAACATTCTGATAAACATATCTTAATTATATTAACAGTTTAATATTTTTTCACATCAATTTGGAGTTTTTTTTAAGCTGACATCTTAATTTTATCGATAAGCGAAATTGACTTTAGCAACTGAATAATCAAAAACTTGTTTTTATAAGCAAAGATTAAATTGTGCTTTCGTTTTCTGAAATAAAAATTTTAATTTGTTCTTTGATAAGAGATAAAAGATTGATAGGTCGATATTTAAATAAAAATTACGTGGAAAGAAAAATTGTTATCTTGTTTCACATGAACGAGGAACGTCTGTGTTTATTATCCTCATGCTTACAAACATAGCAATATAATTGTACCCTCCCTTATTAATTAATCTACATATAAGTAAAAAACAATTGGGAGTAAAAAATAGTACATACTACACAGAAGATAGTGTAATCTGTGAGGGATGGGGGTGAATTCAGTGATAATCTTACTTCTCTCATAATCATCTTAGCTCAAAGTATTTTTTTTTTGAGAACATTGTTTTTTAAACACTTTTGTATAGTAAAGTTAACATTCATTCAAGCTACTTATAGCCCACTGTTTGCTACCTATAATATCTTTCGTGATTTTAGTTTTAAAAGTAGAATTTGAAAACATTTTTTTTTTTACTATTATGTTTGCTTTTCCAGAAAAACTTTGGATCGCTCCAGAACTTCTCGGACAGGCAGCAGAGGCAACGCCGACAAAAAAAGCAGACGTTTACTCCTTCGCCATTATTTTACAAGAAATTGCCCAAAGGAAAAAACCGTTTGAAGAGTGTAACATGGAAATCAACAGTACGATTTAAAAATTATTTAAATTTATCATTACATTTTGTAATATGATGAGAATGAGTTTTGTAGCCATGTCACGTGACGTAAGTACATATTTCACTGTACAGAGTTAGACTATAACATGAATCACTAAATAAGAGGAATTAGTAATGCGATCTTCAGTCACCATGTAGTGTTGATTCCTATATCCACACTGTCTACATCTATAAACGTTATATCTCTGATGGTGAGTATTGTTTTGCTTTAAATATTGCAAATTTTAAACAATATCATTTTTTATTTTATATTTTTAGGTATTTTGAAGGAGGTGTGTAAGCAGCAGAAGCCACCTTTTCGACCACAGGTCGACCCAGAAAACATTCCTAAATTCTATTACGATCTCATGCTTAAATGTTGGGAACAAGATCCTGACAAAAGACCTAGTTTCGCCCAGGCTGTAGTCGCTATCAGAAATTCTCCAAAGGAACTCCAGTACGTTTCTTTATCACTTCCTTCTATTTTTGATGATACTAAAACTGAACCCAGAGTTTTAAAAATTATGGGGAGCAAGCAACTATTAAAAAAAGAAAAAAAGAAAAAAAGAAAAGGCGAATTAGATTTTTATGTTACAAATGTCAATATGTTCACGAGAGGATAGATATTTATGGGGTCCTTGGTACTTGCCTGCTGGTCTCTTATATTTTCACTGTTGAAGCCTCGCAGTTTCAAAATGGATGATCGGATGACGAACGGAGAAGAAAAATTGTCATTGGAGTTAAGTTTGTGCTGAAGCGCCATCATTTATAAAAGGAGCCCTACGAAATATTTACAACGGTCAAAATTACAATCATTCTGCAATGAAAAATGTCATCTGGGGTTCATATGATTGTAATTTTGACCTTTGTAAATATTTCGTAGGGCTCCTTTTTATTCAGAGAGACAATAATAAATATCGTTTTAAAATATAAGCTGGAGGTACAGTTCGTGTTTGCTCTAAAACTTGACTGTTTCCATAATACGTTCCTATTATCGATAGCTTTTGGAGATAACGACGTATTTAAGTCATTTCCGGAAATATTGAAAATGTTCTGACCTCCTAATTCTCAACTATAATTAATTTTTAAAATTTAAAAGAATGTAAATATTTTCTTTTAAATTATTTGCTTAATAATCTAACCTAATCCGTTATTTAAAAATTGGTTATCGATAATATGAAAGTACCAAGAATGCCATATTTATGTTGGAGTTTTCAAAACTCTCCAGCAAATATCTTATATTTTTTGCCTTTACAAGAATATCTATCATTGACACACATTTCCGATAGAATTGGTCAGCAGCGTTATATAAATAAAAAAGGTCAAAAGTCCTGCGAAACTTTGGTCTGCGAATATAAATCAGATAAGATTAGTTTGTGGAGAGTTTCAAATTTCAAAATTGACGACTGGGCTTATGCCCTCCTTTTCATGTTACAAAGTGAAGTTGAAAAAATTGAAAAATCCTTTATTTTTTTAACCTCCGAATACATTGGCTTTATCTCATCGTGATGTGTGTTTTCACGGTAATACTTTTAAAAACACGAATAAATATAAGTGCACGAACTCTTTTCTATCTAGGGCGGTATATACACCTTATCAAACATTTTGAACATTTAAATAATCATACATAGATTTAATATTCATCTAACATTCCTTGAAAAATAAATGAAAATCTTCAATGCATCAATAAAAATAAGTAAAAATACAAATCATTAGTAATGACATTGTGCATAAAGACTTAGATAAAGACTTCCTAAAATCATCAACATGTTTGATTGTTAATAAATTTTAGTTACGTTTTCAATAAATACTCAGAATTTCTAAGGCCGGTTTATACGGGAATAAAATAACAGAATTATGAATTTATTGAGCACATATAGGGTTGATTGATTTTGTTTAGCGGCCTATCAATCCCTATATGTTATTTAATGCCGAAACCTAAATATAGTTTCGACTAAAGATATTTTGAACGCAATTGTATATCTTCAACTCTAGATAAAATTTACTGTTGGTAATTCTATTCTAAATAGGTGTTGTTTGTATTTTTATTTTTATACTTTCATAGTGTTTTGTTTTTGTTTACTATTTTCGGGGGGTTCAATGTTTGCCCATAGCTAGAAACTTAACAGTAAAGGATATATAGGGAGACTGTGTATTGTTTACGCTTCGGGTACGTAAGTAAAGTTAGGAGTTGTAAACTTCGAAAGGTCCCAATAAGAAATGTGCATTTCTTATATATGCTAATTGAACTCTGCTCTGCTGTAATGGCTCCACGTAGCTTAATAGTAATCTGTTTCTCAGATTAAAAACGGAATACAAGTTCGATCTCTGTCCGGGGGGGGGCACTTTCTTTAATAAGACTTTCAAGGTCGATAAATATTTATGTCAATAGTGTCTATTATGCGTATATATTATCCTTGAATATTGATCTATATTCTTGAATAATGATCTATTTTCTTGAATACTGATCTATATTCTTGAATATTGATCTATATTCTTGAATACTGATCTATATTCTTGAATACTGATCTATATTCTTGAATATTGATCTTTATTCTTGAATACTGATCTATATTCTTGAATACTGATCTATATTCTTGAATACTGATCTATATTCTTGAATATTGATCTTTATTCTTGAATACTGATCTATATTCTTGAATATTGATCTTTATTCTTGAATACTGATCTATATCCTTGAATATTGATCTATATTCTTGAATACTGATCTATATTCTTGAATATTGATCTATATTCTTGGATACTGATCTATTTTCTTGAATACTGATCTATATTCTTTAATATTGATCTATATTCTTGAATACTGATCTATATTCTTGAATATTGATCTATATCTGGTTGTCGATTTAATTCAGACGATAGTTTGCTTTTGTATCATGCATCGAGTGAAAAATAAAACATTACCTATGAACGAATATCCTTTTGATAAGTTGACAAAGAAATACCATGTAAACGGACAATTTTTTTTTTAACCGAAGACAATATTTTTTACAGGAAGTAACCATTTCAACCTTACAGTAATGGTATTTTTAAAAGACGAATGGCTACGGAAAACCTGAAAGGATTAAGAATAGTTCTGGTCTAATTATTAGCAGAAAAGATACTGAAAACTGCAGTTCTATTATTGAAGACAACAGGTTTCGCAAAACAATCACAAGAATCCTCTATTCGGAAAGATTGTCGTTCTAAATTTATCTTCTCCGACATCTAAATCAATTACAGTTTCTCTTAATACCTTCAGCTGGTGAATGCAGCTGACAAGAGGAGGGGGGGGACAAGGCTCGGAGACAAGGGGCTAAAGAAGAAAAGTTACTTTCGAAAATGATATTTGGCAATATGACAAAAAGGTACTAGAGAGAGAGAGAGAGAGAGAGAGAGAGAGAGAGAGAGAGAGAGAGAGAGAAAAATTGATTGGAGCATAAAAAGCGTTTGCTTGAGGAATACTAAAGAGAGGAAGAGGTGTGAAAGACAGGAATAGAGGGAGTGGGAAATGGAAGACATAAAGAGGAAATAAATAAGAGAATGAAAAAAAAAGTAGGAAGACAGTCAGAAGATATTTTATTAAGCTTAGCTAAGTTTGGTACATGGCCATCCATAGTTAGCATCAAACTTATAAGACTAATAATAATAATCCGTGTTAGTCAATAGTAGAGGCCATAGAAAGATAAAGAATACAACGGAAGTATGTCTATGTCACAGGTATTCGAGTGATGGTTAAGAGAGTTTTATTAAATATATATTTAAATCACACTAACATTGGCATACAACCATACTTATAGGATGTTTATTGTCAGTAGTTTTAAATTTGCACATTAACCTACCCTCTTTATTGATTGTTCCAAAAGGAGAATTATGTCACTCCAGGTTTTTTTTTGGTTTTTTTTCTGACGATACGTTCAAGTCTCATGAAAAAAAAAAAAGAAAAAAAAAAGCAAAACCTGGAGTAATATAATTCTTCTTGAGTCAAATCAATTATACGGCTAACAGCATTTCATGACATCGCTTCTGTATGTGAGTGTCAATAAGCCACCATGTACTTGTGTATGTGAACATTTGTGAAAAAATGAAAAAGAAAATTCTTTCAGTATCTGTCTATGTTTCAGAGATGAGGTATTATGGACACTATTTGCATTGTTCATACTATTCGGAGCGTACAACGGCCGAAACGTTGTGATAAATACGGCAACAAAGATGAGGACAATAGTCCTACTAATGTAAATAGTGAAAATTCTATTAAGATTCGTTTTGTCCCAGAATCGGCTCAATCCGGACAAATGGTATCTAAATACCATTCTTACGTGTGCACATTTGTTTCTCACATAACACCACCACCACGAACAAGAATAATAGCAATAATAATAAAAATAATAATAATAATAATAATAATTCTCGCTTAGAAACAGATCAATTAGAAAATATGTGACAAGGATATCTCAGCAGCATGCGGATTGTGCTAGAGAAACTATAGCACATATCACATGAAAATGTTCCACATTTGCCCATAACGTTTGAAGCGTTTGGATAAATTGGCTAATCATAAACCGGAGAGGATAATCAATGACGAAAACCGGAAGTTGAAGATTCAAACGGACACAGTTATTGACTATTCATCCCCGGCTGGAGTTCTTCTCAACAACCACTGAATTTATTTATTTATTTATTTTTATCTTATTGATGTTTCTTGTTCATTTTATAGCAGAGTAGAAAGTCAGAAAATCAATTATAGATTTAAAGTATAAAATCAAGAGAATATGGAATTAATAAAAAGAGTTTGTGCCGCTTGTAATCGAAACATTAGGAAGAGTTTTATCCATTAGTTGAAAGCATTAGATTTAACAGTGAGTATAGAAATGAGTTGCAGGAGGTTTGTTTACTGAGCATAACACGATATCCAAGGATATCCAAGGCTGAAGGATGCAGCTTTATATATCTAATCCATACAGTACCAGCTAAAAACATTCAATAAGCCTAAGGTTACTACGACAAAATACACGTTAGAACACGAATATTGAAAAACATCAACAACAGATCCTTGAAAATGGCCAATAAATTGGTTGAAAGTGATTGAAACAATAGACATTACATACACCGTAGTTACTTCTTTAGTCTTTCTAAATAGAAAACTAAGAACATTAGAAAATATTATAAGATTCTCCTTGTCAAGAAAGTTTGCTGTCCAAATATATATATATATATATATATATATATATATATATATATATATATATATATATCTTATCTTTTGAAGATCACGAAAACGTGTGTGAAAAAGGCTTGTGTTGATGAAGTTAAATATAAATAACACTCAGTTAACATTGTATTTACTGGATTTGATGGCATTAAAGATAATTTTAGAATATTTTGGGTTATTTGAATTATTTCCATAATTACACTGAAAAAAATATTCAACAAATTTGATGCAATCATAAATTTTGGCAATTGTATTTCAGAGTTTTAAGCTGGCGGTGGGGAACAAATATAACAATGTTCTTCAAATGCCTAAATAAGACAATACTTCTTTTTGTTATTGACAGTGAGATAAACCTGGTGGAGAAAATAGCCAATCAGATGGATGATTTAGTGAAAAAAAAGACGCGAGAAATTGAAGCGGAAAAGACCAAATCCGATCGCTTACTTAGCGCCATGTTGCCCAGGTACTTATCGATTGTCACTCACTTTTTTATTTTATTTTTTGCTCTTTATTCATTTTCTTTTAGGCTTTCTTTAGACTGATAGGGTGGAGGTGGATAAGCAAATGTTTTTAAAAATCCCTTGACCTACTTTCAAGCCAGCCTTTGATAACAGCAGAAGGCACTAAAAGTAACCACAAGCCATATTTAGAGTTATATATTGCTGTTTTGGGCGATATGGCAATTTATCTCGGCACGCGACTATTAAAAAAAAATAAACAATCGATTTTATCCAAAAGCTACTAATGATACTATTGCAACTTTGTGAATCCATTCATTGCAAATATCTCATTAAACATATATTAATTTCTTGTCGAATATATATTTTACGGTTATGTCATAAAAATTGTATGAAGCCTGTGTTTAAACAATAAATTTATCAGCAATCATGATGGATAGAAACAACTCATTTTGGTAATATATATATATATATATATATATATATATATATATATATATATATATATATATATATATATAAACCGACATTTTGAACGAAGTAGGAAAGAAATTAACTAAAGATCATTCGTATAAAATTGCATAACTGTCGGATTTGAAGAAAATCCAAGTGGGAGAAGATATTTAAAAAGTGAATTATTTGAAATAATCACAAATAAGTCACAACAGGTGCTTTTGTTGATCTCAACACACAAGAGTCACTTCATGCAATTGAAGAAATGGACTGAAGTTTTAATGAAACATGCAACCATTAACGAATGATGTTTGCAACATTATTTAAAGGCTTGCATAACGTTTATTCTAACATCTTTTCTCATTTTCATAAACCTCATTTAATTACTAATGCATTTAACAGATGCTAATTAGGTAACCAAATAAAACTCGTATATACTTCATGTATAAGGCGATAGCTAATGAATGGATGGGTTGCGAGTCGGATTAAATAGGATTAGAACAACTAAGGAAGGCCAGCACCTCCCTCCCCCTTTGGCCTTGTGCCATAATTACTGTAAAAACAGAAATAAATATCTGTATAGGACGACAGCTGATTTATTTTTTATTTGCACTATTTAGATTGTCGAACTGTTGTCCTCGTCTTTGTTGTCATATTCACAACGCTTCGGCCGTTGTACGTTCAGGATTTCTTCAGGTGATTGGAATATCAAATCGAACCCTTTATTTCTTCCACTGCGGTAGATTATTCTAGTTCCACCTGCCATGCCTTTTCTGGATATCTCAGTTTCAGTTAATTCCCTTTGGTAACTCAACTTTCCAAGTTTTTGTTCACCACTGCTGTGGCCAGGTATTGAACTCACAGCTCTTTGGTTCAAGTCATTGGATTATTTCAACCGATGCTTTTATCCACTGGGCCATGTGTCATTGAAGAAGGTCGGAGCGTACAACGGCCGAAACGTTGTGAATATGGCAACAAAAATGAGGACAACAGTTCGAACAATGTAAATAGTGTAAATAATTACAATAGCTCATATCAGAAATACAGACTGTTTTGTTTTTTGTTGTGATAAACCTATTTTTTTTCTCTATATAGCTCGTGTATAATGTGATTCCAACTCCTGAACAATGTCAATCGGCCTACTGTAGTCAAATATTGCAATAGTGGGCATCATCCTGGACACATAGCAAATAAATGGTCTTCATTCTTATTTTTTTTATACAAAACTATTCCAAAATGGTGAGAAATACCACTTACTGATATGAAGATTTAGATACCGTAACTTTTATTTTCGTTCGTCTCTAATTACTGTAGCTGTTTTAATTTGGACCTGCCTCCTACGTAGACGGAGTTTCTTCACTTTTGTCGCTTACATGATGAGCAAAACATCATCCACTATGTATGTCACTTAAAATCAACAAATATCTTATATAAATGAAGAATTAATAGATTTTATTTCTTATCTCAAATTTGCATTCATCTTCGTTTAGCAAGTGTTTATATGGCTGAAGTATTGTCTTTCCAATGATAACATTTTTGTCGGGATTACCGGTACATAATGCAGGGTAACCTACCAATTGAGGTACATACTTCAGGGTATGATAATCATTATGTATAAAAGTATTCTAGACATGTTTTTTTCTTTTTTTTTCTTTATTTTACTAGAAACTGAGGTTGTTTGAAATGTGTGTGTTACCGGAGCGGCTTCTTCTGCTGCTGCTGCTGCTGCTGGCCAACGGCTATTGGTTAACTTATAGTGATGAATATTTTTTTGAACAATCTAGGCACTAGCGACGAGGTTTTAGAGAAAATGGAAACAAAAAATCTTATACTTAACACCAGGAAGAGACAGTTGAAATCTCTGGTGGAAATAATAAGGAAGTGCGCCTTGGAAAATTTGATACTCACAAAACAAATTGAGGGCAAGAGTGATTGTGGTAAACAACGCATAACATACTTGATGAGCTTGAAAAGAAATGGATGGCAGAACAAGATTTAGAAATAAAGAAAAGACAGAATTCATTTAGAGCTGCGAGGGATAGGAAAATATGGCGAGCCATGATCGCCTACGTCCTGGGGGGGGGACACTGCACATAAAGATGAAGGCGGCAGCGCTCAAATCGTTATAGAAAGCAGACGACTAAATTTTTTACGCTTTTTAAATGACTAGAACGGTGATTTTCTAAGCGTAGCTTAGATGAAGAACAAGGCCGAAGATATGGGGCACCTGGTGTGGATTGACCCCCCATAACTGATCTAGCAATACAAGCTTGCTAACGATTACACCACGCTGAAGTACCCAAAATGAAGAGAATATACACGTAACAACAATACCGTAGTAGATAAGTACATTTTATGCATTGGCAAGTCACAACAGCCAGCCACCCACAGGCATGTGACAGAAAGCCGCTCTTGCAACACAGCACATACTTAAATAAAATGTCTCGCTAAATAAGGCAAAAAACTACATATATATATAAAGAACTTTTTACTTAGGAGGATGAGTTGAATGATCATATCCTGAAGTAGGTACTTCAAAGATTCGCTTATGTGCATGAATTTTAATCCTTCAAAATGAACTGTGCATTCTGTCAACGAAAATGCATGATATTTAACCGCTTCAAAACAGACCCATCTATAATGTCAGCCCCTATAAAATAGTAAAAATGAATCCTAAAAACTCGCACTATACACGGTATGATTCAATTTTGATACACATTTTTACATTCTATGTAAAATGATACAGTGAGAGAAAAAACTGAACACAAGAGCTTTGTTTAAATTTTAGTCATACACATGTCTCCTTATAAAAACAGATTCTATTTGGATAGAAAGATAATAAAAAATCGGAATTAGTAAAAGAATTTTATTCTCTACCTGTGCAGGGAATAGAACAATTACTGCTCGATCCTTTTCAGTAATGGTAAATGTTCTACATCCGTAGAATTAGTCTGAACTAAAAAAAAAACACATTTGTTCTGTCAGTCCATTAATGACAGGAAAACAAATGAGAAACTTTTGATGCTACTTCTGCTATTGACTAAACAAGTTTTCCCCTTTTCGTAAAAACTAGAAAACAATTTCGTGATTGTATTGTACACCATGGAGTTTTAAGATCTTAAAAGAATGACTCAAGTACAGCATTAAGAAACTGACCCAAAATTACAAAATTTTGAAGTCATAAGTTTATTTGGAATTATTTAGATCTTTCTGCTGAGTAAAACTTAAATTAGAGTCTCTGTGATTACTACGTTCATATTTCCAAACATAAAAATAGTTTGATTTGAACCATTAGTCATAATAAGATTGTGACAGCCTTATTATGATGGAGCAGCCATTAATAGCAACCTACTCATTAATTTCTGAGTCAGACAAGAAACTAAGGTTCCTTTTACTTGAAATCACACTTAGATGTGATTTCGATTTCCCCCCTTTTTGTGGGGAGGGGTTCGGGATTATTGACACAGAATTTTACTGGATTGTGCCAATAACGAAATTTTCTTTAATTAGTGGGATCATTTTCCACCGAAACAGAAACAGATGAATATATGCAAAACTGCTTATTGAAATACAATAACTTTATTTGATATAAAATCATTGAAGATTTGTTCTTTCCAGTCGAGTCTATTTTAGACGGATAGAAAAATTAGCTTCTTCCATTTCAAACCGAATAAATTTATTCTCAGACTTATTTTATTTTGTC